GATGTATGCAAAGAGATAAGCATTGGTATGTTTTAAAAAGTGGCTTTAAAGAAGAAAATACAAATACAAGAGATGATAAAGAATAAAGTTCGGTATAAGAAATAGGGATATCAAAGTTATGAGGATGCAATGAAGATGGTTACACAGAGATGAATATAGGTGATAAGACAAGAGTATGTGAACATGAAAGGAAAGATATGATTTGTATATAAGAAGATTTTGATAATAAAAGGATAAATGGATAAAGAAATGAAAAGATGGTGTTTAAATGATTAAATATGATAAAGGGTTATAAGGAAGTGCATATTATAAGTTTGATTAGAAGTAAGAAAAGTATGTAAGGTTATATGAAGAGATTATGTGTATCGTAATACAGACAAGGATGAAAGAATGCGTAAAAGTTTGGATTGTGGTGAATTAATTAGAAAATGAGGAAAGAAATCAATTGATTGATTTTTGATTTAGAGTGATAAGAATTGATGTTACTGTCTATAGGATAAGTAATATTATATGAATAAAATCAGAGTTATGAATTTGAAACAAAGGGATAGTATTGTGTATAAGAAAGAGTGTGGAGATGATAAGGATTTGTACTTTAGAATGAAAGAGTTAGCGTTAACTAACAAGATTTTGTGATGAAATTGTATTGGATATAGTTGTATATTTTGATTACGTAAATGTGATATAGTGAATGAAGTGAGGATTCGTATGGAAGTGTAAATGATAAGTTCGATATAGAAACACGAAAAGTGTGCAAGGTGATGTGAAAATATTGTTTGACTCCTTAAAGTATATGTTTAATCACAATTGAAGAAGATTTAAAGTTGTGTTTTGGTCAAATGATGACGAAATACAAGTTTGGTATAGTTATAAGGTAATTAGAGAGTTATGAAGAAATAGATGGATTTATGATATAGAGTGATGAGATGGATGTTATTGTCAACGTGATGAGTGACATTATATGGAATTTTAGAAAGGTCAAAGGAAAAATGCATAATCGAATAAGAGAAAAGACAGCAATGGATTGGTATTACTGGTTATTGTTTATATGATAAGCAACAGAAGATGAATGTATAAACGAAAAAGATAGTTGGAAAACTAAAGGATTGAAAAGTAAGTTTCTGATGATGACAAGAAAGAATAAGTCAGGGAAGCAACATAAGAACATTAGAAGATATGTTCTTATTAAGATGTGCAGTGAAAATTCGAGGACGAATTTTCTTATACGGAGGGGAGAGTTGTAACATCCCAAACTATGGGTTAGTGACTAAATGGTAAAGTTTCAGAAATTTGGTGATTAAAGTAGAAGAATGGATTAGTTCAATGATTTATCTGAAAATAAATCCTAAAATTTGTTAGTAATTATTAAAGGATTTTAAGGGCAAAGTGGTCATTTGACTTGGAAAGGATAAGATAATAATCTTATCTCTTTATTAAGAGATAAGCATGTAGGGATCTCCAGAACTTCTTCTCCTTCTTCTTCCTCTCCTCCCGTATCTCCAAGCTCAAAGGTGAGTCTTCTACTTAGTTAATTAATTGTTAAGTTTAAGATTGGGTTTTGATCATTAGATGATAACTAAGCTTAAGGAAAGCTTAAGTTATCTTAAGATCAAAAGATAAAGGAGATAGAGAAGATTAAAGATTAGAGGTTCTTGAATGAAATATTGGAATAGAGTTTATAATAAGAATTTAAAGTTGGATTTGACTTGTCATCAATCTAGTTAAGATATATGCAGTGTTAAAAGTGGAATTCAAACATGTTGGATTATTGATGTAATTCTTGAATTTCATATGAAGGATAGAATTTGAAGGTTAAAGATGAAATAAATGAGTATAAATTGGTTTAAGGATGTGTACTAGAGTTAAGAGTGAAAGAGGGGATTAAACATGAAGGATTTAATCCAAAATGAATGGATTTTCGAGTTCAAAAAGAGGTTCTGGGCAGAGTGCATCGATGTACATTCATAGTGCATCGATGCATCAAGGTTAAAACCCAGAAATTGTTTGAATGTGCACCGATGCATTGGTAGTGCATCGATGCACTCTTTTAAAATAAATACATCGAATGCAATTCATGCATCGATGCATAAGTAGTGCATCGATGCATCCCATTAATAATGAAACATCGAATGCAATTGGTGCATCGATGCATAAGGAGTGCATCGATGCATCCCAGTAATAATACTACATCGAATACCTTTTATGCACCGATGCATCAGTAGTGCATCGATGCATACCTTCATTAAAAGATGAAATCGACTTTTCTCTTGGTCTAAAGAGTGAACCATTAGAGTATATTAGTTATGATACTGATATAGATCTATGTATGATTATGTAGATATATAACGTGATCCCGTTCTGAATCAACTGAAGGATTAGAATTGAATCAAAGCAAAGCTAAGGTAAGTGCATACTATATGTATATTATAATGGAATAAGACTTGTGATAAGTCTAATCCCTATGTTGATTTTTATAATACAGTAGTTGTGAACATGCATACATGATAATTATTGTGATACATGCATAAGACATATATATGTTCATGTGATATGATATGTGATATGAGAACATGATATGAAGTGATATGAGCTACATGATCACAAGAGAAATGACATGAGCTACATGATCACAAGAGAAATGACATGAGTACATGAACATATGAAATATAAGAATAATGCCCATAATATACGATATGAGAATTATAGGTGTAATTGGCATGCCAAGAGTCGAGGGTATAATAGTCCTTCGGGACGTAGTCCTTCGGGACGTAGGAGTCCTACGTGACGAATACTGAACTAAGGTTCGGTGCCCCATGAGGGAATAGATACGAGCTGTGGTGACAGCATTAGTGCACAACCTCAATGCACTCACATACCTCTAATCTCAATAATATACATGGGCTATGCAATTGAAATACCGATTTACAGTGAAAGTGATACAAGAAGGTAAGTTTCGTATGTGCATTATATGTTATCGTGCGATAGATATATGCATATTGAAATGTCATGATTCAATTGTAAGTATGAACATTCATAAGTTTATTGTTGCATATGTTTTATATGACTCACTAAGTCAACGACTTAGCGTGTGATTGTTTCACACGTAGGTTTCGAGAAGAGTAAAGAGTAATGCGGAGCAAGACAGGTCAGTTCTCCTTACCAAATGTCAGATCAGAAAATATATGTACTGTATATAGACTGTAGTTGGCGTGTAGTCTAAAGATATAAATTGTATGAACTCTGATATATTTTGTAAACGTTTTGAATAAGTTAAATGTTATAAAAAATTTTAAATTACTCACTATTTTATACGAATAAATGTTTGAAAAGTCAATGTGACACTTCAGACTCGTATCCGGGTCGGATACGGGTTGGGGGTGTTACACGACCCGAATATCACACTTAAAAAAACCCGATCCGACCAAAATAAAGTTTCACCCGACCCGACCCGAATATATGAATTAGAAACCCGACCCGAAATAATAAAAAAATATTTTTATTCAATATATGAATAAGTTACCAAATGATTGATGAGGGTAATATGGTCAAATTTTCAATTCCCTCCAACAAGGGAATTGAATTGCATCCATTTTTTTGATGGAATTCACTTTCCCTCATTTGATGGAATTGAATTCCATCAGGGATTCCAATTCCCTTGAAAAACTTGAACCAAACATGGGAAAGTGGTGGAATTGGATTCCAATTCCAAGGGATTCCATCCAACCAAACGTCACCTAAGACTTAATACGAAAAATATATTAACTTTAGGTGCTTAAAGAATTTTTCATTAAAAATAAGTGTGTAAAGTTTTTAACGTTACACTTTAGATGTACGTCGTTAAATTCGGCCATAAAGTTTTACCGTTATACTTTTAGTTGAACGTCGTTAAATCTGACTTTAAATGATATGTGTCAGGCTTATAAAAATTTTAAAAGTTGTTTTAAAATAAAAACTAAAAGAAGTCCAAAACTCTAAAAGTCCTAATTCTAAATTCTTTTTTCCACGTCGGCTATCGATGCTACCTCAATCATTGCTTTTTGTTGTCGATCACTTCATCTTATCGGATTCCAACGCATGACGGGAGGAATTGTTGCTTGAATTGTTCGAATCATCGTCCTTAGACGGACTTAATAAGTTGTTGCAATCGCTCATTTTTCATTGTAATCTTCGTATGAATAATGGGTGTTCGGGTGGTTGGGCGTCGTTGAGATTTTAACTGATTGACGATAGTTGTGACCGCCGATGATGGTGAGGAGATTAAAATTAAGGGGTTTTGAGATTTTTTTATATAATTTCAAATAATTTTGGGTTTTTTAAATAATAATTTTAAGTTTTTTTAAATAAAAAAATTATTTTATTTAAATAAAAAAATTATTTTATTTACTTAACATGTGTCAGACAACGACCAAATTTAACGTCGGTTACGACCCATACACGTAAAAGTGTAATGTTGGAAACGTTAAATACTTATTTTTAACGAAAGTTTTGTTAGACGCCTAAAGCTAATTTTGGGAATAGTTTGGGCTCTTATTTTTATGTTAAGCCTATTCGATGATGGAAAGGAAAATAAATAATTATATATTATCTTGTTTAGATAATTAAAATCATTAGGAAAAGATTAATAATTAACTTGTCTAGCGGGATTGGATTGTTAGAATGAACTTAGAATTAATTTTTCATTATTACTTGGATTCAATTCATATTTGAAATTTTAGAGCCTATTATTGATATATTATATATTTATATTGAGTGATTATTTATACAAATTATCCAATTATAATTGTCTCACAAAACTACTTGTATAAACTTTGTTTTGCTTTCTTTTCCTGAGTTGTTTTCCCCTTCAAACTGAAATAAAAAGTTGAATTTTCTAGAGAAAACAAGTAATATTCAATACATATCATGTAACATCACACCATATCAAAGTAACCCAAACAATTCAAACCATACATCCATCATCATGGTCTGCATGTTGATCCTTCACCCGCTTAAATTATTACTCAAACCCCAAATAGAGCGAAAAGAAAGAAAAACAAAACTCCACATCTCACATCCATCTTCTATAGTTGCAGTAAACAAATAACAGACGCAGGAGATGAAACACAACACTCCTTATCCCCTTCTCTACTCCTCAGCCTTTCCAACGGTAACTTCTTCTGCTTTTTCAGCAATTTCCTCCTCTGCTGCTGGTGCTTCCGACGTGGGTTCTGCCGTGTCTTCTTTTACTTCTTCTGTAACTGTTTCGGCCTTCGTCTCTGCAGTCTCTTCTTTCGTATCATCAGCGGCGGCTGGCTTCGCTTCCTCATCAACTTTGGCTTCTTTGGTATCAGCTTCAGGCTCGGCGGCTTTAGGAGCTTCTGTTGTTGCTTCCTCTGCTTTTGTCTCCTCCTTTGGTGTCTCGTGAACCAGGGTTACCTCTGCTGTCTCCTTCTCCGGCAATGCTGTTGCTGTTGGTTGAACCTGCAAGGGAAGGCTCCGATATCATTAATTGAAATAAATGACGTATTAAGATATTAATGTTGTTGTAAATCAATGTATATTAATTCCAAGCAAATTTCATTACCTCAACGCTGGCCATTTGGAATGAATAGGCAAAGCAAAGCAGAAGAAAATATTAAAGAAATGGAGAAGAGGAAGATCTTAAAAGCTCTATGAGGGAAGCGAATGGACGGAGAGGTATTTATAGGATGTAAGTGGGTGGTTTTAGTAAATATAAATAGTTGGAGGATAAGACGTTGACACACCTCCATCTCACTGGACATTACCATTGTCCATGTTCCTACTTTTCTCATCAATAAAGTATTAATTTGATAAGGTTTCTGATATAGTTATATTCATGGAGGCCATTAATTACGTCTTTATAATTATATATATCGTGATATGAAATGAAGCATTGACGCATGCAGGGTAGGCTTTTGCAGAACCTAAAAGACATGCAACATGCAAATAACCTCTCATAAATATGTCGATTATTTGTGTATATATATATATATATATATAAATTTGACATTTTGAATGGCATCTAAAGCCAATCATTTTTTGTATTTTTTCCCTTTTCCTCCAATAAATAATTAATATTTTATTTATTATACTTGTATATATTATTTATGTTATAAACCAAACAATTTTACAAAACAATAATTAATTAAGCAATGAGTGAATGGACTTTCCAAGAATTAATTAATCATACGTACACAACAATGAACAAAGAAGAAAAAGGATAGGGCAGGCAAGAGTGTAGGACGGTCGCAAAGCTACCCAGAGAGGTCCCACTCTCCAACTCATTTTGAAAATTTGCTGCTTTTTTCCATATGGTTTCTACCCCTCTACCTTTCGGAAGATGGGTCACGTGAATGATGCCTCTCTGCTTTTTTTGTAGCCCTCCGATTTGCCACGTATGATCCCAATCATCCCCACGTGATCATGTCCTCATAAAAAGCCATTAAGCTACCATCCACCCTTCCTTTTATGCCAAAACAACATTTCTTCAAATTTCACAAACTTTTTTACCGTGGTTTCGTGTACCTTTTACTACATAATCGTCATTATGTTACATATTTTTTGTCGACCTTGTTCTAGGCAGTTCTAAGTAATTCAATTGTTGAAAGTGGTTTCAAATCTTGACCGTACTGTGAAAATTATTTACAGCACAAATTAGTCTGAAATTCGGAAAAAAAGATGTTTCGGTTACATGTTATCGATTTAATTATTGCCCAGACCAATGCTAACGATTTTCATGAAAACTGTTTGGTGTTTGTGCGCCTCATGTGACATGGGATGGGGAATGAGCTATTGAGCTTTGTTGAATGATTGAAGGTGGATATCAATCGGTTTGATTTGATGGGTCGAGACCGGGCTTGTGAGTATATTTTGAGGTTCTTTTAACGACTCAACAAGCTGTCCCTCTAAATATGCACATCCAGCTAGCATAGCAAGACCCTGTGGCCCCGATGCTCAAGGTTAATGGCAGTGAAGGAATGAATAGTACAATATATCTTAAATAATTATCAATAATACTTTTAAAACCAATCTGCAACTTTTGCTTGCTGCAAAGAAATAAGAACCGGGGCAGGTTAAAGGTTTCTGCTCGCGATTAAGTGAGCCTTTGACAGGTTATGGACCAGCAAGATATTGCAAAGTTTGGGATCACCAGTATAAAAGTCAGCCGAATGCAGTACTACTGATTTGGGTCTTCAAATAATTCAGACAACATGATGACGGTTACTAGAAACTGAGAGTACAAACATAAGTCATCCCCCATGGTAGGTTGACAAAGAAGGCTTCCCTATATATTACTAAGCCATAAAAATTTATGATGCAAATCTTCTTATTGCTTCTAAATCCTAAAAACAGGGTTTCTCAAGGTATTTCATCTGTTAGGGAAACTTCACCTCAACCAACCTCTTCTGAGAGCTGTTAATATGTTCCACTGGTGTTCACCTGATTAGTTTTTTCAACACCGCTTCAGCCCGATGCTCAAATTTAGGGAGTGCCCACTCATGTTGTACAATGTCAAGACCATCTTTCTCAGCACCCAGGCTCTAATAAGAATGATAATCAAAGGATTAGGAGGCATGCAAGGTTAAGGAATCACAAAATCTTTTCTATTCTAAGTTTCTTTACAGGATGCTTTATAATTTTAAACCATATATCAGCCTAAAAGAAAAGGCAATGCCTTCCAGGATACATCTATTATCACAAAAAGGGATCTTGATTTCTTAAATTTAAACCAAATATCAACCACAAAAACAGTTTGGTTCATTGCACGTAATCAACCACAAAAAGGGCACAGTAACACAACCTGGGGCTGTTGAGGAAAAGCACTGGCTGAAATTCCTACCACAAGGATTCTCAACAGGTAAATATCAAACCCCCAAAGCATGGGCGGTTCTATTGACTAAAAAGTTAATCATTCATAATAATGCCTCAAAAAGACAGAGACAAACATATTTTTTTGATGAAGAACCTACCCACATATACATCAGTGCAAACCTATTTGAATATGGCAGTCCAAGCTGCACAGACGTTAGAAGCACAAAAGATTGTGGTAGCACATTGATAGGGTAGTGTTGGTCCATCATCATGGGAATGGAATTCCAAATTCCCTGTCTAAACAATCTTCTAATTGACGAGCAAATATTGCGAACAAGATCAAATCATTAACAAACTGCCCAGCCCACAACAACAGTAATCATTTTTCCCTTGGCTAAAAGGCTAACAGCCATGTGTACCTTACATTTAAGATCACACTAGCCATTCTCCTAAGAGATATAATAAAGAATTCTTAGTCAATTAAAGAAAATATGGATACAATATCAAACATCTTTGTGACTCCACAAAACAGCTTGGGGATGAGTAGAGAACTTATCATAAATGTATTTATATAAGGTGGAAAATCTTTGTTCCATGTACGACCAATTAAATTCTAAGCTCAAGGACTCTTTGGAAGACAAATTGTCAAAGTCTAAGGCTGAAACCTGTAAGTTCTATTATTCTATGTTCCCTACTAAATACCATTTAAGGTGTCATCCTAAGCTTATCTCCTAAAACAACCCTAAGAAACTTGAGTATTGCAAAAGGAAAATAAGAGGTAAATAACAGGATTTTGATTAATGTAATACCTTTGATGGATCAAAACCAAATCCACTCATCTGCATCATTCGTTGCGTATCATCCATTGCTGTTAAAAAAGAAAAAAAAAATTACAACTTTCGTTATGAAACCTACAATAGATGAAAAATCCAAGAACTGAAGAAGGTGCTGATTGCTTTCTAATATAAAACATAAGAGAAAGTTCATGATCCAACACTAACCATTTTCCTCTCCTAGAATCAGACTAAATAAACCCCTCAAACCAAACAAATTGAGGAAATACCTGGATATGAAAGAATTTGTCAATAATTGGTGTAATACTTAATCAAGAAAGCATCTCAAAATATAAGAGATCATAGAGATAAAAGAAACAATTAAAAGAAAATTTCTGAAAAGATTATTGAGTACAAAATAAGATCAGTACCATGAACGGCTACTAACATAGCTCACATCAACTGTGCTAAGGTCAATTCCATTCTGCAACATTGATCTGAACCTCTGAGTCAATGGGAAGGGTATTTTGGCTGCAGGAGAGAAAACAAATAGAAGAGGCAACCACATTTATCATTACCAGCAGCACAATAGTACCAATAAATAAAAATCTTAATAACACTAACATGACCACTTAAGTTAGACTTTGATTGTCACATAACAAAAGATTGTGTCCATTACCATGCAGAAATAATGAAAATGGAACAGATCCAATGAAATAGGAAAGGGGTTAATTTGGAAAATTCAGTATATCAGATACATGAAATTGATTTTGTACAAATAACTGCAAATTCAATCTCAAATGTAGCATGAAAAGGAAAATACTCAGAAATTTTGGAACTAAAACAGTAGTAAAGAGCCAGACCTGCAACAAATCCAGAGAAGAAGAAGTTGACCCATGCAAAAGTGAGAGTCTGAAAACAGCAACAAGTTTACCCAAAAAAAGTAAGTTCTCTAACATGAGCAATTACGCCAAAGCATACGAACGCCAAAGGTGCAAGCGCCACAAAATACCTGAGGTATAATCATAGAGAGGTTTTTCTTCATCATATCCATAGCCATGTTAGGGTCAGAGAACATTTGAGCTTGAGCATTTTGAGCCTGCCCCTTGGGGACAAACAATAATCCATTTTCCTACAAAGTGCCATAAAATTAGCTTTAGTTTATTCCTCTCCGTGAGGGAAAGGAACTTACACTTGATAGATTATTTTCATCAATTTGAACTGATTTTAACAAAGCTTAATATTAGCAGATCCATAGCCTATTGATTAGTTGCAATCCCAACAAAATAGTAATTCATCTACGGCTAATGAGAAATTGGCTAACAGCACAATAAGCTCTAAACAAAAAGAAGAAAAACAACGACAATAGAGAAAAATTCGAAAAAAAGGCAATTAGCACTAATAATTGTGGTCACAGAAGTTATAAAAAGAAGAAGGAAAACCTCATTGCTGAAATAAACCCTACGTGAGCGGAAGGACTTGGGAGGGATAAAATTAGCGGCAGCTCGCAAATTCCGAGCCCGAACAATTACTTGCCTGGAAATATAAATTCGGGAATCGATTAATCTGAGACCTATTTATCTTTATCGAACTTTCGTTTTACAAAAAAAAAGGTGGGAGAGAAATACCCCTCTTTGACGATCTTGGGATCGGGAAGTTGAGAGGAGCGCATGAGCTTAGAAACAAAGTAGCGGAGGATGCCAATGAGAACCATCACCACCGATAGGGGTATCAGCACCCAATCTCTGATCGCCGTACCCAGCACCAGATCTTCCGCCATCACTACTAGTTGCTTCTACGACGAGAACAAGAGTTCGGCTTATTTTTGCTATGTGCTTCTTTACATGTATCCAATTGTTTGAACCTTCGATTAAAATAATATTTTTTGTATATCTTTGTAATTATTGTCGTTTCTAAGGGTAAACTTACACACAAAATCACTAAAGTATTAGTGTATTTTTATTTTAATCATTATTGTTTATAAAATTATATCATGATCACTGAGGTTATTATAGATTTATATAAGTTTTCTTAATTTTCGTGTGGGGATTAAACTCGTGTCCTGACTCCATATTAGAACATTTTATGGGCAGCCATGTATCACTTGGATATGTCCTTGTAAATCGTTTGTCACTCTCAATCATACTAATATTAAGAAATATTTCTAACTGTCAATTCAGGAACGAGAAATAATCTTAAGATTACAACAAAACAAATATATTAAAAAGACTATCACTTATTAGAAATACGACCAATTATCTAACGAACAACACCCTATAAACTTACTCCTAAAAGAATCCAAAAATTCCTTGTAAGAATATTTAGTTTTCAAGTGAAACCGCTAATATATATAATGTTGAGACAATATAACAAAATTTACAAATTTGATATGACTCATATAATAAATACTTCCACTCAACTCAAATAGCAGATCAGGCCAGTGAATCAGCAGGAGATGCCAAAAGGCCCAAAATTATGGCGCAATTTCTAAACCCAAGCCATCTCGGGTCATCGTTCTCGACCCGAACCCAATCACCTGGGTTCCAATCTCTCACGGCATCCCGCAATCAAAATGTTGATCTAATTGGAGCTCTCAGCCTCAGAATCTCGAATGCGACGCCAGATTTTCTCGCTTTTTCTTCTCATATGATCATAGAGAGAGGCAACACCAGAATTCCACACTTTCACCAATATACATCTTTTTTTCCCCTTCGTGTTTGATTGCAAAGAATTGACTAAATTTTTTGCAGCAATTCAAACTTTTCTTACAGGTTTGGACATCACTTCTTTGTTCTTCATGTCTGTTTTAGCATCCAGAAACACCTTTCCATTGTGTAAATTAATGAACGAGTTGAAATTTGATAGGTTATTAAGAAGTTTTGTTTCTTTACTCGACTCGATCGAATACTTACCCCTACTTAAGATGACACGGACTACCGGTAGACGAGGTACATTAACGTCTTCACCGGATGGAGTTTCATCTTAGGGAAGCAGGGAGTCGGTTGCTGAGCTCAAAATCTTTTACTCACAGGGAAAATTGCCGTAACACATTTAAGTAGGTTAGTTGTTGTTCTTCATTATATCTGTTATGAGGACAGACAGAGATGGAAGCAACGTGCAGGAAGCATTTGTTTAGCTCACGTCCAGAGTAGGTTTCTCAACCGACACAAACCAGCTAATCACAAATCACAGCACGTAGGGACATCTATTTTCGCGTAATCCTTCTGCGGGCCCTTCCAGTTAATATTGGATTCGTCATTTATCCAGGTAACGAGTTGAAATGGAGATACGAGAGACTCGACAATTGAAAGTGCTAAAGTTTGAAAAAGTAGGATAAACTACATGAATGACCATTTAATTATGAGTAGATTCCAATCTAATCATTGATCTATTATATTTTCAATCAAGCCGCTTAGTTATTTAAATAATATCACTTAAGTTATTTGTAGTTAACATTTAATAGATAAATTGACGTGACAGTTAAAAAATTAATATAATTACACGTTCTTATAATTTGTATATGATAATGACAATTACATTAATCGATATTATTTAAATAATTAAATAATTTTATTTTAAAAATATCAACAATTAAATTAAAAGTATGGGTAAAGTATATAAACAGTCTCCGAAATTTTAGGACGCTTGTATTTTGGTCAATCAACTTAAAAAACTTGCAATAAAATCATCGAATTTTTAGTTCATTTTCAGTAAGGTCTATGCCGTTACATTTGCTGCTGTGGCACCTAACCCATTCAACCCCCGTTAACACCCTTTTTTTCTGCTTCTTATTTTTCTTCTTCTTCTCTCACACTTCCAGTCACCCCACCTCCGATTAGCGGTAGCTCACACCACCATCACCGGCGTCGCCTCCCAACCACACCCCGACCCTCAAGTCCACCGTTTGTCCTAAATCACGAGAAGATCGTTCGAACACCCATCTCCAATATCTGTCATCATTCGTCGATAACCATCACCGCCAGCACCAGTAGGAGCGTCGTCCCATTCCGACCAAAACCCCTTAGCCACTCGCTGAGATTCACGTCTGTTCGCCGTGGAGAGGGCCTCGAATCTCGTCGAAAAACCCCAATTCCTCTTTTATGTTTTCATTGATTTTTGGTCGATTGAGCTATCCATTTGCCACACCGCCACTACCATTGGAGTCCTCACACCGTTTCGACCAAAACCCAATCGATTGTGTCTTATTGCCATTGTCCGTCCACCGTTGGTTAAGAAGATAGAGGAGAAGAAGAAGAAGAAAGGGGTTAACGGGGGGTTGACGGGGGTTAGGTGTACATCAACAAAAACTAACGAGAGGTAACGACATGGATCTTGTTGAAAACGAACTAAAGTTCGATGAGTGTATTGCAAGTTTCAAAAGTTAGGTGACCACAATGCAAGCACCGTAAAAGTTCAGGGACTATTTATATACTTTACCCTAAAATTATTAATAAAAAAGTGATCGTTTATATAGTTTGTTAAAAAAATTAATACAATTTTCCTCGAAATTATCGCCCCTTTAAGATGTCATAGGAATTGGAAGGATAAACTGTGTGAAACCAAGGAAGCGACTTTGACAACTTATCCAAAGGGTTGCAACTTGAAAGTACATGTAATTCAGAAGCATCAGTTAGAGACTCAGAAAGTTGATTCAGCGGACACAAAGTCTTAACACTTCAAACTGGGGTGCTTGCCTACAGATAAAGTAAAACAAAGGGTTCATAGCAGTCAGCATAGGCTATATACTCTACAGAGTATGATAGAAGTAAAGGCCTGTCATTGCCAATTCTAATTTCATCTTCCCTCCCTTTATTCCAATCATTAACATCTCCTTGAAAAAAAGGTCAAAAGGCATATATAAAACAAAGGGTTCATGCTGTATCTCTGCTATCTACAAACTTTGTCCTGTTAAATAAGAAAATTTTAAAATAAAAAAGCCGGTGCTGTAATCGTGTTCTTCGTGGAAGCTAGTGCAGGAGTGGCCTTCACGATCTGTCCACCTCTCTCTCTTACTCTCTTCTCTCTTTCTTTGTTTCACTTCACGAGTATACATATTTTCGGATCGCCACATGACTCTTCCTTGAGTGTTTTGAACTTTCCCTCGAAGAACCTCATATCTCTCTTTTGCTGACCCATTTCCCTCTCTTTTTCCTTGTCTTTTCTTTTTTGAAGGGTTATCCTATTCTTTCCTTGGTATTTGGTTTCTGTTTACCTTTCTGGGATTCTTTGACCCATATTTTAATACTATTATTATAATTTTCTTTTGTTTTGAATTGGGGTTCTCTCATCTTGTGTTGTTTTCTTCTGAGATTCTTCCTAGACCCTACTGGTATTTTTTGGCTTATCTTTTCTATTCTTTTGCGCTTTGGGCAACTGTGTTAGTTTTCGTACTAGTAGTGTTATATATTCTTGGTGAGGGAGTTTTTTGCCCCTTTTTTCTTTGTACCTGTTTGATGGGCTGTTGATGTCTTTGGCGGTTGGTAAGGATCCGAATTCCAAGAGCATGGGGTTTGACAAAGACGGGACTTTTGTTGACAGTGAAGCTTCAGAGACAAAAACAACATCAAAGATGCCTCCAAACGGTGGTAGCGTTGAAGGACATCACCCTGGATTCAGTAGAAAAGCAAGCGAGAGTTCTCTTTGTCCAACTGAAGATGAAGGCGACGATGATGATGAAGAGAGGGAGATTGAGTTGGGCCCTAAGTGCACCCTTAAAGAACAACTCGAAAAAGATAATGTTGGCTTGCTCCATCTCTTCATATTTCAGTTTCAGTTCTTTTTCCCCCTCGTCTTTTAGTGCTTATTATCTTTCTTTTCTTTGAATTTGAGGGTTCAGGATGACGAGAGCTTAAGGAGGTGGAAGGAACAACTTCTTGGTGATGTGGATTTCGAGTCCGTTGGAGGTTTGACTTATCTTACTACATCTCTCTCTCGTCTTTCGTTTTTCTTCTTTGAAAACTGAGAGTATGATATATTACTATTAGTGCTGTCTTTGGTCTCCTCAGTAGTTTCCCTTCTCTGTTGTTTCTTTCTTGTTTCACCTTCCAAGCAATGTGTATGCATTTCTCCACCTGCAAACCCTTAAAAATCTAAGGAAAAATAAAAGAAGAAAGGTTGTCCTTTCTTTGTATCCTGACATTTGCTTCCATTGTTTATGATTGTTTAGAAAAGCTGGAACCTGATGTTAAGATCCTGAGCCTTGCAATCAAATCACCAGGTAGGCCTGATATGGTACTTACAATTCCGGAGAACGGAAAGCCTAAAGGCTCGTGGTTTACCTTAAAAGAGGGAAGCAAATACTGCCTGAAATTCTCTTTCCAAGTGAGCAACAACATTGTATCCGGACTCAAGTACACTAACATGGTTTGGAAAACTGGTGTCAAGGGTAATTCCTTTTTCTCTTTCTCTGTTATTCATATGGAAGAATTGTTTTCTTTTCTATAAACTTTAGATTGATGTTCTGCTCCATGAATATTGTGCCAGTTGATAGCACGAAAGAGATGATGGGGACCTTCAGCCCCCAGACAGAGCCTTACACACATGAAATATCTGAAGAAACAACTCCATCTGGGATGTTTGCTAGAGGATCTTATTCAGCTAGAAGTAAGGTAAAAAAAAAAAAAGCTTTTCTTTGTTATCTGTTATACACCATAATTGCACAAAATGGGTGTCATGTACTCATCTGTTTGAAAACCAAAAAGAACAAGAAGAAATCACTATTTTGAATTAAATTTTCACCAGCAGGCAATAACTCAATATTGATAGTGTCACCATCCAGAGTAATGGACCTTAACAATGGTTTCAGGTCTTGAGCAATGCTGCATCAATGATCCCCTTATGTCCAAGAATTAATACTCTAATAAAGATCCCATTAATGAGTTGTCAGGATCCATGTGAAACAGGCTTTTGGGATTCAAATTTGTGGGTCATCTCATGTAGTAGACAATAGACATTAAACCGCAGTTGAAATTTTGTGCAATCTTGAGGCCTTATTGGTTTTTGTTTTCATTACTATTTTTCTCTGTTTGCAGTTTGTTGACGACGACAACAAGTGCTACTTGGAGATCAACTACAGTTTCGACATCCGTAAAGAATGGCAATCATAGACGACATACAAATGAAACATTTACAGTTAAATCGATTTGCTCGTGTCCATTGTTTGTCAAGTCTCCTTTAGATGTAACCATAGTTCATTTACTGTTCTTATTTGCCAGTTGCCACCCATATCATCTACACAATGAAGTGAGTTAATCAAAAAGCTTTCTGTTTTGCCATTAGTTTCTTTAGGAATGGATTAATAAAAAGGTCAGGTTTTGCTTTCAATCTTCCTTCATGGGATCCGTGACGGAAATCTTGCATTGTGATAAGCTTTATATACCTTTCATTTGGAATTTTGGAGTAATTTGATATGTAATGGATAATGAAAGGTGAAACTTTTGAACCATTTCTGAGATTAGTGCTCTCTTCTCCTTGGCAGTTAAAAGCTGCAAATTTTGAACCATTTTGAAGGTGGAGTTTTTGCTAATATCTCCAATTTTGAATCATCCATATCCAGAAAAAACAATCTTTCTCCTGAGGGAATCGTGAACTACTCCCATACATACCTGATTTATGGAACGAGCTGAATATTTCAAACATGAAGATAATGTCGAGAATAATTCCAGTTATCTTGTAAAAAAAGGGTCTTTCTGCTATCATTAAGCAACAAACAAATAATGGCCGAGAATTGACTAGTATAACATAGGAAGATCTTTTATCCACACCGAATACAAAAATGGATTCCTGGTCCAATCAAAAGAATTCCTTTCCTTTATTTATATTTTCTTTTCCACTCTTTCATTTCGATAATCTATCGTCTTCCTTGTACAATCATCTATCATCTGACTGCTTTTCCACTTTCATCGTTTACAAATAGTTTACAAATAAACCCCCAAAAAAAATAAAAAGGAAAAAAAGATATCGTTGGGAATGAAATTCTACCATTGATATCCCCTTTGACAGAAAAGGGAGGGATCACTTTATGTATTTTTTTTTAATTGTATACGTCAGGACTAACAGACTTACAGAAAAGTTTGTCATTTCTACTACTCTTCTTTGATGAAAGAGAGTCTCCCAAATCAATCCCCTCTACGATCATGGACACTTGCAGCAAACAATCAAAATCTTAGCGCCCAATGTATAATTGGTTTGTAAGTTTTTGTGATAATGCTGGAAGCATAACCTGAATGAGCCTTCCAAGGGCAAGTATTAGAGGTAAATAGTAATTTGGACTTCTCCTTCCCAAACCTTACCGTCTAAATCTCAGTTCCAACATTCTCAGGTCCTATCCCACCCAAGATGGGCTAACTTTCAAAGCTCAGCCACCTCAATCTCTCCATGAACTTTCTGGTTCTCTTCCTCTTTCATTAGCCAACCTCACTTGAATTTCACTGCTTTATGCGGGCAATAACTTGAGTGGTGGCGAGCTAGACCCACGAGGCAGAGACAATTCTCCAACTGGATCAGGATTGAATATTTGAATTACTAGAGTTCCATAACAACAATTTTACTGGGTTGATTCTCTACAGAAATTGGCCACTTTGTTAATCTCGTGGAGCTACATTTGTCCAGCAATCATTTCCATGGTTCAGTTCCATCAGAAATAGGAATCCTCGAAAACTTGGATGCATTGGCTTTACACAGAAACTATCCGTCAGGTCCTATCCCTTCATCTCTTGGCAACCTGATCAAATTAACAATGTTGTATTTACACCAGAATAAATTTTTAGGAACCTTCCTAGTTCGCTCATAGTTTATTTAACTGTAAACTTCTTGCTTGACTGCTTCTGTTCAAGAATCGGCTGTTGGGTTTGTACCTCAAGGATTATCAAATCACTTCTTGAAAGAAGTGCATCAAAGTGAAAAAAAACTTTTCAAGTTGCCTAGCACAAGTCGGTCAAGATGCAAAGCTACAACTTTTCAGTGCAGCGTTCAACAGCTTTACAGGTCCCATCCCAAAGAGATAGCAAAACTGTACAAGCCTCGTTGAGTTCAAGTTCATCACAAAAAGCTTTCAGGGTCTCTGGACCAAGACTTCAGAGTTTATCCGAATCTGAATTATTATGGGTTGAGCCACAACAGATTGGAGGGGTTGCTTTCAGCTAACCTGTAGGATGCAGAAACCTAGAGCAGTTAAATACATGTTGCTGGTAATATTATCAATGGAAAAATACCTGGAGATTTTGGCAAGCTGAATCGACTAGTTGTGCTTGATCTTTCTTCTTACCAGCTTGTTGGAAAGAGTTGGGCAGATTAACCTCTCTGTACCTCCTCAACTTGAGCAATATCTAATTATCAGATGAGGTGACACTTGAAATTGGAAAGCTCTCGAGGTTCTAGATCTTTCAGAAACCAAGCTGGATGGGAGAATCCCAAGCCAATTTGGTGAATGCTCAAAGCTACGTGATTTGTGGTTGAAGAAGAACTACTTCAGGGGGCTTATCCCATTCCAGCTTGGTTATCTAGCTTTGCAGGGGCCACTTGATCTTAGACAAAATTTGCACGGCAGATACCTCCAGAGCTTGCAAAGTTGACCATGTTGGAACATCTCACACAATATGCTGTCAGGTCCAATCCCCTCTTCATTCAGTACGATGACTACCTTAAAATCGATTGACTTCTCATACAATGACTTGAAAGGGCCAATTCCCAAAAGTGAATCCTTTCACCATGCTTTCCTGTTGCCATTCAGCAACAACAAAAAACCTATGTGGTGAAGTTGAAGGTTTGAAACCCTTCAGTAACGTATTAGTGAAAACAAAAACCCGTAAAATGAACCTCAGAGTTTCGATAATTATCTGTATGCACACTGCCGAAAAGCAAAAACCAGCATAAAGTCGAAGGAAGCTACGGTATCAAAAAGGGCAGCAGCAGGAAATCTAATGAGTCTAATGAGATGGGAAGTACCGTACTGTGGGGCTAGGGTATCAAAAAGGAAGCTACGATAATTATGGTGGGAAGATCGTGTACGAAGTTATAATTGAGTCTAATGAGAGCTTTGGTGGAAAGTACCGTACTGTGGGGCTAGTGGAACTGGAAGAGTGTACAAAGAAAAGAATAGGATCTGTTTTGGCGATCAAGAAAGTATTTTCTCTAGACGGGGATGAGGAAGAGGAAGATAAGATGGGAACTGTCAACAAGGTTTAAGTGCTAACAGAAATACACCACAAACATTTTGACGGATTTTGTTGCCAAGGGCCACACAAGTTCCTAGTTTATGATTATATTGAGAGGGGAACTCTAGCCCATGTCCCGAGGGATGATACGAAAGCCAAAGATTTGGAGTGGAGCAGAGCGATAAAACGTGTGAATGATTGTGTAACAAATGCTTTGTCCTACATGCATCATGACTGCGTACACAATGCAGGTGCAGTGTCGGACCCTAGTGTAAGTGCTTTGCTTAGTTTTCCTTCAAAAAGAATAAATAAAAGCTGCTCTGCGAGGTAGATATGGTAATTACTTATTACGCAATCCAGGTTCCACCACACCATCAAGTGCTCCAACTAAATTAACATTATGTAACTAATAAAAACTATATTAACACTGTAGGAGCAAATCATAAATACATATAAACACAGACCGCAGACACCATTTCATCAGCTCTGAGAATTTCCATCGAGATATCTTTCAAATCAATGACTCCGGCTAGTGGCATGTGCTCCTCTTTTATCTCCAAGCATAACAGTTTCCTCAATTGCGTGGTGGGACAACCTTACCGGCACAGGTTCCAAACCCAACATTGTAACCATCTCCCTGTATGCGATTTCAACAAAAATCAATTTCTCTGTACTATTTCACATGTTTCTGTTCCTGAGGTAAAAGAGTATGGTAAACAGTACATGACCACGACATTAACATCAAGAGACTACATATTCTATATAGTACTTTCCCTTTCCACATGGAATTGGAGATAAACGATTTTAAATTTTAAAGCAACTCTACCATGCATCTGAATTTCATTACTTTAAACCCCATCACTGCTCAAACTTAAGCCAATAACCCAGGACCACAAAGATCATAAAATATTATATGATTCTATTCACCTGTTTAAATTTCCTTTCAGACCATCTTAAGCATATCTATTAATTGATGATGAGGAGACAAATGACGTGCACAAATATGTTTGCAACTATGGTCTTAAAACTAATGTGGAACAGATGAAGTACCTTGCAGCAACCAGTGATGATTACTTCATCCCCGTCTTCTAAGAATTTTCGAGTTATCCCATTTAATTGTAATGACTTTTGCCCATTCCATGTATGTTCCAGCATGCATCCAAAAGATTCAGGTTCCTACTCAAAATAAAAAAGGCTAAGCTTTGAGCAAACAATACCAGACTCATTTATAATTATCACTTGAAGAGCAAGAGTAAAAATTTGATGCAGCATGACCAAAAAATCAACCTATTGTAACTTGCATACTAGCAAGCAGCATGATCAACACTATACCAGAAACCAGTATCAATTATTTTTCACTAACATAAATAAAAAAAACTACTGGAATATTGAAGGAAAGATTATGCGTAGCACTCAAAATGACATGTTAGCAAGCATAACCATTCTATTCAGTGAAAACCCATTACTTTTCCAAAAATAAATCAATGCAATTCTTCCACCGCTTACTTTGATTTAAAAGTAGTTGTAATATATAATTAAGAGGATTGGTCTAAATGAAGTTGTCGGGGATTGACCAAAAAGAAAGCTTGTCAGAGCAAGCATATATGCAATATCCAAAGACCCACTCGGCCGTCTTCTTCAGTACATCAAACAGACACCAGAGGTTAGAGGTAGTAAATTAAGTTTGAAAGATTTCTAATACCTAAACTCATACATGATTACTTGAACGTGTTTGTGTGCGGATTGGTAGATGCATGCAAAGGGATAAGGATATAGAAGTAAGAGGTAATGTACTAAACATACAGGCCCACTAATGGTCCCAGTTCCAAGGAGATCTCCTGGCCTCAGGTTGCAACCATTGATTGTATGGTGTGCTATTTGTTGAGTTAATGTCCAATATCTGTTGCAAGAGTAAACAAAGCTCAGTATATATTTGAAAAAACAGCAAATCGGCATATTAAAGAAGTATAACAAGAGATCCAACATTTTCAAGTTGCAGAAAAAAAATCATTTTTTACTATTAACATCAAATTTTAAATAGACTGAGGCACTTTGAATCTTTGATTCATAACGTTTCATGGGAAAAAACAG